TGGAGATCATCAGAATGTAGATGGTACTTACAGTCATGAGGCTGGGTTCAACAAGGAAACGTAAGTAGACAGAAAGAAGAGGACCAAAGACTGAGACCTGGTGCCCTCCAAAGGTAAAAGGTTGGGATCTGAAGCAGAATCAGCCAAGGATGGTGAGGATGAGATCATGAGACACAGGGGCAGCAGGAGTTATGTGTGTGCTACACATCCATGCCCATGCCACCATGGGCAAGGATGCAAAGACAAACATGACTCCATCTTCACACCCTCATGGAGGAGTCAGGATTTTGCATTCTTAAATACCACTGTGGGCAGGTCCAGGGATGGCTGTGGAATGACGGAGGCAGTGAGACCACACCTTGTTACTTCTGAGAATTATTACACACACATACACACACACACACACACACACACACACCAGTCAACCGTGTGTGGCTCTTCTGCATGACTGTTTTATTTTATCCTATGTGATAGGCAGTCAGTTACCAAGCCATAGAGTATCTACCTTTGCAGTATCTCTTATATATGGCCCCTCTCCTCTGTTCCTTCCAGCCTATATGGAAGCCTCATTACAGATCACCCAGAATGTTGCAAAGGCTCCTGAACATCCTGGATCCCTCCTGCTAGTCCTCTTATTTTCCTTCTTACATCACTCTTCTTCCTGGCACATGGTCTCCTGCTCAAAAGTCCCACCACCCCTGGGATGAAGCCCAGAGCCTAAGCCCATTACTTACTACTTCACAGACTGATGCTGCTCTGCCCACCCAGCCTTGTCTCCACTCTTCCCAGGTAGCCCCTGTTTCCTGGACACTCCATGTTCATGCTTACAGCTACACATTTGCCCATAGTAGAACCTCCCACCAGGGTGTGCTTTTCTTTGCTTCCTATGGCTCATAGGCCATTTCCTCAGCAAAGCTCTCCCCCTATAGTCTGAGTGGATGTCCATGTCTCCAACATCCCATATCACTCCAAGTCTGTGTTGTCCATTTTTGTATGTAGGTATATGACAGCAAAAACAATCACTAAATATATTTATATTCACCAGTTCATTCATTTTTATTTGTGTGTAGCTTGTCTGTATCCCCCTCAAGGATAAATAACTTTCAGTGTTAAGCATGGTGCTATTCTAATAATAAAATACATGAATAGTAGATGTCAGGGTTTTTTTAAGGTGAAGGAATATATAAAGGGTAAAACTGTGATAAAGCACCTTGTTGTATACAAGCTCCAGGTAAATAGGCATGAAAGTGATTCGAAGAAAATATTCATTCCTTCAACAAAAATGTATCAAGATTTACTATATGCCAACAATGTGCTAGATGCTAATGATTAAAAAATAAGCCACAACCCCAAGCCTCAAGGAAATCATAATCTAACAGGGAAAACAGACACATAAGCAAATAATTATAATATAAACTGGTACCTGTAAAAAGCTGGATATATCCACGGGAGCATGGAAGAGAAGGCTTCCTGGAGGAGATGATGCAAGTAATGATTCTCAAAGGACAAGTAGAGCCAGTGAGACTTTAGCAGGGGAAAGAATGTTTCAGGTAGTGGGCATGGAATGAGCAAAAAAGGAAGAGGTGAATACAGCATGGTGTGTGGAGTGGGGAGACCAGACCATGGAGGGCCTTATTTTAAGAAAATTGAATCTTATCATGTGGGTGATGCCAGGGATGCCGATATAGAGGAGCCCTTGAAGGGTGTTAGGTGTAGAAAGGACAGAATCATGGTCTGCATGTTTGAACACTAGAGCAGCTAAAAGATAAATTTGAAAGGGCTCAAGGTTGGATACAGAGAAGGCAGTGATGGACCATTATCAGTAGACCAGGTGGGAGATGGCAAGGGCTTGAATTTAAATGAGGGCAGTAGGCAGCCCGGGTCACTCCACAGTTTAGTGCTGCCTTCAGCCCAGGGCCTGATCCTGGAGACTCAAGATCAAGTCCCACGTTGAGCCCTGCATGGAGCCTGCTTCTCCCTCTGCCTGTGTCTCTGTCTCTGTCTCTGTCTCTCTCTTTCTCTCTGTCTCTCATGAATAAAGAAATAAAATCTTAAAAAAAAAAAGGTAGTCCTCTTAAATGGTCACAGAGTGACTCCAGAGTACTATGACTCTTGGAACTTATCAGGGACTTCTTTGACAACCATTACCAAAGCCAGTTTATCAGCTACATAAACCAGTCATGCATTGTATAGGCATAACTCTTTGGGGGGAGACCAAAAAAACACCACTACCTCGAATGCACATTAGTACCCATTTTTCATAAATAAAAAATGCATTTTTGAAAAATAAACCTATTCACTAGACTTAAGTCATAATCAATTTTGGTTACTTTCAAAACCAAACCTTCTGTTAATGATGGAGTCCTTTGGTCCCTGGGGCTGTGGGAGAGAATATGCTTCAGACCCAAAGGATTCCCAATAGAGCAGTGTCAGAAGTCACAGCAGTGCGGATGGACAGAGTACGTAGGCTCCCAAGATCACCACTCCCATTAGCTACACTCGGCTAGGGGCCTTTGTTTTCAATGTGATGATTAAGACGCTTGTTTAATTTCTCTCCTATTCCACAGAATCCTCCAAGAAAAGGGTATCTTCCTTCTCTCCCAAGACAGGCACAAGAGTGCAACTTACTGTATTATCTCTGTTTGCAGAAAATCTGGGACCAAGCTAAGCTTTGTAAATTTCTCACATGACTGACCTCTAGAACCCTAGGCTTAAGACTGCTCACATAGCTCTAGGCAGGAAGGTGGGGACAAAAATATGAACTGTGAAAACTCTATAGACAAAGTATCTTCATCAACCAGCAAGATAGCCAGTCCTAAAAAGGACAGTGTTATAACAGAATCAAAAACAGAATCAACCAGAAAGAGAAAATTCCCCAATGCAATACGCCACAGTTGGCAGTGTCTAAGAGAGGAGAACAGGTACAATTTTACACTGCTGAGAATACTTGCCCTCCGGTCCCACAAAGGAACCCAAAGCAGGCCCGGTCACTGTAACTTAAATGGAGAACAGAGTTGAGGCAACATAGAAAGTAAATGCCTAGTGACTTACTAATTGTCTTCACACTTTGGCTGGGGGCAACAAGCTGACTCCAGTCTGGCCATTTCCTCAACCCAATAAGCTGATTGGGTCTCACTCGACCTCTGACCCATATGTCATTATCTCCTGTTCAAACAACGTTTACACCCTTTTGTACAGGAAGACATGGCTGTGGCATTATTGGGGAGCTACTCATCAGTGTGGCTACAATGAGCATGTGCAGCAAAATGGGCTCTCTCTGACCTTCTGCTTGAGTTCATTTTCCTCTTCTTCATTTCTGCCAATCATGATACATTGCAGTTACTCCCAGCAGTTACCAAGGGCATGGAGACAGGAGAAAAGGTTCTTGCAGCTGTGGGCTCACCTCCTCCCCAGGCAGCCCTGCCTTCCTTTCTCTTCAGATTGGGGCTGACTAGCACAGGGAGTGCTGTAGGGATGAGCCAGGGGCAGCAGTTAGTATCTCCATGTCCTGGTGTGATGATCAAGGATGCTGAGATATTTCAGCATCAACTTGACAATGCAGCTCTCTCTTAAGCTATTCTTATAAAGCCCTGTAGGACCTTCTGTCACTTCCTAAGAGGACAAACTTTATATCAAACAAGGCTACCACGTCGTAGCTGATGAATGGAGCATCTCATTTTTTTAAATTATTAAATTCTTCTGCAGTGTCACTGAGAGTCATTCCCAGTCCTAGCAGTGGATATTTGGAGAATAAATAGGCAGGCTCAGCTGACTAAACTTCCGCTTCTATCTGGGTTCAGTCCAGCTCCCTGTGGCTGCTCTGGGAGCTGCAAGCACACTGGACAGCCTGAGTCCCCTTCACTCGGGTTTTCTCCAGAACCATGAAAGGGCATTTCAGGAGTGGTAAGGTGTAGTGGTCAAAAGATAGACTTTGGAATCAGATAACTCCCAACTCCAGCTCTCACAATCTGTAGAACCCCTGATGTGGACCTTAACATCTTTATACCTCCATCCTCTCATGTGTAAAATGGAAATAGAAATTCATTCATCTTGTGGAATACTTTGTATATTAACTGAGATAACATAATTAAAGTACTTAGCACAGCGGTTAGAATAAAGCAAGTGCTCAATAAGTTATCAGCAATGATGATGGTGCTGGTGCTAGTGGTGGTGGTGATGGTGATAAATGAAGAGCAGGAGGGGATAGACATGGGTTAATACATGCGCTAATGTCAGGGGCAGCCAGGAGGAGTTGCAAAATATCCAGAATGGCAAGTTTGCTAACCTAAGCAATTGGACTTCCAGGCTGGACCTGAAGTCAGTGAGAGAACAGCACATTACAGTGTGTCTCCCAGCCTACGGCACAACATCCGCATTGAGGTGGTTTCCAAGGTGACCTAAGTTATCTCCTTGTATCATCAGTTTCAACGTCTATTTTCCAAGTTCTAGATGGGCCTAGGACTAGAATTTAAGCAACCTTCTTTGTTGAGTAGAAATTCTACTACTCTGATTTCCTGGGAAACTGTTGTAACCCTTGACTTTGCCTCCTTTTGCCCTCCTCTCCACCTGATATTTCCTTCCAAGTACTTAAAATTGTCACCATCTCTTCCCAACAAACAACCCTTACACGTACTCATAATTCGCAAGAAAGTGGTTCTTGCAGTGGAATGCCTCTAAAGAGCTGATTACAGTTAACACCATCCCAACTAGTTGATGCCTCTGTGGGGCTCCCAAATGCCTCTTTGAGCTTCCTGTTTCTAGTTGGACGAGCTCCGATTTCATTTAACTTGTTTCAGTATTGCTTGTTAATCTTTGTATTGTTTAGATTTGCCCCTCTGTAATCTCGGAGCAGCACAGCATAGAACCTTCTGACCTGAATTCCCCTCTGAGCTTCCCATTTTGCCCATTTTGACTGTGTTAGTAAGTGGTGGGCACCTCTCCAGCTTTTGAAAAATTCATTTAGCCTCTTCTTTTCTTGTGCATCTCTTCTGCTTTGCCAGGTCAAGCTGGGAACTACCTGACTTGAGGGAAGGGAGAGTAAAAGCCATCAGTGACTCAGATGGGGTGAGCTACCCTTGGTACGGGAACACCACAGAAACTGTGACTCTGGTTGGTCCCACCAACAAGATCTCCAGGTTCTCCGTCAGCATGAATGACAACTTCTACCCAAGTGTGACGTGGGCAGTGCCAGTGAGTGACAGCAATGTGCCACTGCTCACAAGGATCAAGAGGGACCAAAGTTTCACTACCTGGCTGGTGGCCATGAATACCACCACGAAGGAGAAGATCATTCTACAGACCATCAAGTGGAGGATGAGGGTGGACATTGAGGTGGACCCTCTTCAGCTCTTGGGGCAACGGGCCCGGCTGGTGGGCAGGACTCAGCAGGAGCAGCCCCGGATCCTGAGCCGGATGGAACCCATCCCCCCCAATGCACTAGTGAAACCCAATGCCAACGATGCCCAGGTCCTCATGTGGAGGCCCAAGCGAGGACCACCTCTGGTTGTGATCCCTCCTAAGTAGAAGCAGACTGGCCTGACTGTGTGTGGAGCACATGACGCTATGACACGCAGTGAGGTTGCCAGGGGTGGCAGGAGCCAAACTGAGTTTCTGAGCCAAAGCAGACCTCTTGGTTTGCCAGCCTTTGCAGCCACTTATGAAGAGTAGAGCTGCTTCTTGGGTGGTAGAACCATAATCCTTAGGAAAAGTCCCTTCTTTTTAGGAATAAAGAAATCACTGATATGACAGACTTGCTGTGATTACCATGCAAGTAGCCATATTTTGGAGCTGACCAGGATGATTCTTTTATCTGAACTATTGACCATTTCTTTCCTGTGAGATGCAGGGGATGGAAACAAAATTAAACAGTGCCTGTGGCAAATGCTGCTTCCCAACCAATTAGAAGTGGGAGTGAAAACATCCACACCAGGTGTTTGTAAGACAGTCCCATTGTCTGATGGGAGGGTGCTCGGGGAAGGGGGTGGAATGAAAGGTAGTGAAGAGAATGGGGAGAGGAAGGAATATGTTGTTATTACAAATTAATACCTATGAACTTATTAGTAGACTATCAGACTTTCAACATACTCAGTGGAATGAAAGGTACACTTGGAGAACTAGAGCCTCCTGGGAACTGTCCAAGGTTCTGATGTGAACAGACAGGTGGTGCCTCGATGGTTCCATCTACCCACGTCTTCCCAAAATCTGATTGTTCCAAGTATCCTTTTTCTTTTTTTTTCTTTTATGTTCCGAGTATCCTTAATCACAGTGTTTGGATAGACAGTTCCTGTATTCTGCAGAAGCTATGGTATTTGGGGCCTTCACCATGTTTTTAGTGAAACCTTATTTGTGATTTTGTTTACAGCTGCTTATCCTGTTCCCATTACCAGCCCTAAGTTTACAAAAAAAGATAATTGTTTATAAACCATGGAATCCACGTAGGATTTCAAGAACATTTTAACAAATAAGAATACTATTTTCATTCTTTTGGGGTCTTTTCAGCTTCTGAATGATGTGAAGGTACAGAATGCACATATGTATATTCATGCACACATGCAAGCATACACACCAGGCTGCTGATAGCGTGACTAACACATTTGCCAGCAGTACCTACGTATGTACTTGTGGCCCAGTACATAGACTTCCTATATGTTTATTTTAGCTCGGGTTTCACAGAAGCTCAACTTTAACTGCATGAGCATTAGTGAGGAAGTGCTTCATAATGCTTAACTTCAGAGCTCTTTAATGAAAATCTGAGCTGCTCACATTGTGCAAGACTATATGGCTGAGATCCAACCAGCAAGGATGAGAGACCATATTTCCTTTAGTCAGGCCAATATCATAAGTTTTAAAGAGTTTCCAGTCTTTATAGTAAGGATTTTTCCCAGCTCTTCTAGCTTACATCACCCCAAAAAGAGCCTTTCCTTTTATTCTCAATCATGCAAATTGTGATACACACACACACACACACACACACACACACACACACACACACACACATGGTTTCTTCATTCAAAATCCCCCAAGCAGGGAATCCCTGGGTGGCGCAGCGGTTTGGCGCCTGCCTTTGGCCCAGGGCACGATCCTGGAGACCCGGGATCGAATCCCACGTCGGGCTCCCGGTGCATGGAGCCTGCTTCTCCCTCTGCCTGTGTCTCTGCCTCTCTCTCTCTCTCTCTTTGTGTGACTATCATAAAAAAAAATCCCCCAAGCAAAATAATTATAAAACTGTCACAATGTCATTGTGGGTTTTATGGATGGATACTGGCATCCTAATTTCAGAGGCCAAAGAGTAGAAGTTCGGAGGAATTATCACAGCCCTATGGTTGGCTCCAGTGATGTCTTCTGCCAGAGTCTAAGAATGGAGAAGGAAAAGCAGAAGAACCTTTTTTTATTACTTTTATCAAAAATGCAATTAAGTCTAATTTCTCTCAGGTTCTTGTCCCAGGGGATGGTGCTTATTTGCAAGAGAGGGTTCACAGATCCACTTGAAATCATGTAGTGTTAACCTCACACCCCAACCACCAACTCCTCTCTTATAGATTAGTTATTGATGGCAAGCTGAGCTATTTATAGCAGCACATTAATGACACATCAGTGACTCACAGAAGACCTGGAGACATTCCATTTTAAAATAATTCAGCTGTTACATTTGGATTCCACTGTCCTTCCCATGCTTCCTCATTTTTTATGGGAGCTCCAAAGAGCTCCATTGCTGAAATAAAGATGCCTATTTTCCACTCTGATGTCCAAAACAACAAACCATCCCTCGGATTGATTTAGATGCCACCCTTATGGGATGCTGGGACACCGATCCTGGAATCTCACCCGTGGGGCCCTATCCTGAGAAAACCTGATATTTAAAAATCCAAAATTGTAACAAACAACTGATTAATGAGAAATGATCATTGTAATTACATAATCCGACACAGATTTCTGTTTTTAAATTCCCCTTGCCCATCCATTAAAACAAGATATGACTTCCACAATCACATTTATATAACTTTTTCAAGGGTGTATCTGTAGAAAGCAAAGGATAGCATACACAGCTAGACTTGTCCCTGCTGAAAAGAAATGACCTGGCCAGTTTTCTGGAAAATTATGTAATAACAATATGAGAAAAATAGCGAGGAAAGTGCTTATAAAAGTTAACAGCCCTTGGGCAAATGTGCATTATGATTATTGTCGGTGATACTGTTGAGAGCTGTGCAGTTGGGTCTCTTGGTTCTGGAATGATCCTGGAAGAATGCTCCATTGCCCCGCAGCTGATTATTTTAAAGTTAAAGTGGTTTTACAATGAAACAATCCCTTTTATTTCTGTGATCCTTAGATCGTTACCTTTCAGCTTAGTCAGGATATTGCCCAATGAAAGGCTGTCCTCCAAGAGAGAATTCACCTTGAAATCTCTGTTGGGGTCACCCCACCCTCCCAACAGGCTTTTCTTCCCCTGAGAGTCCCTGGGTCTGATGCCAGATGCCATCAGTTTAGAGAGGTTCATTCGGTGCCTTGATCAGGTTTTAGTTGGTGGTCTTAGGTCTGTACTTGAATTCTGAACACACACATATGCAATGGTCTCTGGTGGCACAAGAGCTTTTAATTCCCTGTGGAAAAGAGCATTTTGTCAGGTAATAAATCTTAAATGGCATCACCTTTGAGATCTTTTCTTCTGCAATCTCAAGGAAATTGAGGTCCACTTAAATTAGCTCATCTATTCAGGATCACAGACCTAATTAGCAACAGAGCCAAGAGAAGTACCTGGGTCTCCCAAATCTTCTAGCACAGCCTGGGCACACTTACCGGAGACCCATGGTCCTCTCCTGTCTCCATCCCTGAACCGTTTACCCTCCCAGCACTAGAGATGATTGAATTCATCCTTTAAAAAATAGGGTAAGATCTTTGTTACCATTATGTCAACAAATGAATATTCCAGACTCCCTTTTTTCCATGACAGCTGCTTTGAGATTGAACTCTTAATCCAGGCCCTTTGCAGCATGGGTTTTATCTTCCCAGGTCAGTGCCTTGGTCCACAGCCCATTGGAAGGCTGGAGGCTAGTCCTCTCTCCATCCCGTGGGCCTTTTTACAACCCCCTATCTCCTGGTGCTAAGAATAATATCTCATAGGTCAAAATCATGTTCTAAGCAGCAATTCTGAGCAGTAAAATAAAGGAACTGTGATTTATAGAGTATTTTACGAAAGCCTTCCACTTGCATCTTCTCATCCTCAGTCTTGTGGCGAGTGTAACATTGTTGTTGATATTACTATCTCCATTTTACAGACAATGAATTGAGATCCAGAAGGGTTAAGTGACTTATCCATGGGTACACAAATAGGAGAAGTTAGGAACTAGGATTCAAACTGGGATATTTGGCTCCAGATCCCACGCGAGGACACCGTACTGCTCAGCCTCCCTGGGTGTTCCCTGCCTGGAGGGCACAAAAGAGAACGAAGCAAGGGAGAAAGCAAGTCACTTGCACCTACACGGTCCTGTTGTCCCTACCAACTATTAAGTGGATATATTAAAAATAAGAGGATGAACACTGTTTTCTTATGCAGAGAACTTGGTAATCCCCAGGGAGACTGACCTCCCAAAAAATGCCTGTTAGGGGCTGCAGTGTGGGGGCACTGCTGTCACTTGGTCGCTTCTAGCACAGCATGGTAATTAGTAGAGTAGGAAATGTGCTCTCCTGGTCTCAGAACCCCTTAAACACCCCGTAAGCACAAAAGGAGGAGGAAACTGTGCATCCCGCAGCTAAGGGTCCCAGCTGAGCAAGGCCCGGCCACCCGCCACCCCTCAATGCAGCAGGAGCAGCCCGTGGGGCGGAAGCAGTGCAAACAATGGTTTCTGAGCTCTGGTTGGCACATTGAGCCATTCTTGTTAGAACTGAGGGCACAATTAAACATTACCAGAGCCAGCTCCCAACTGAGTTGCAAAGAAAGATGTAAACACACACACTCGCACGGACCCACTACACTCACACACTCCTCAAGCTGAAAAGAAAATTAATCAAAAAACCCAATGAACGCCTGAACTCTATAATTAAGCCTAAATGATCCTCAGATAGAAAGGGAGCTGAGTGAGCAAGCTCAGTGCACACAGATATTTTTACCCCAGAGTCTTACTGCCATTAATTTCTTTTGAGATCTGGAGTACATCTGGTTCCAGTTTCCCTGGTAGGACATCTGCCTATGGAGGGCCTGCAGGAGCATCGCCAGCTCAGTGGCCGGAGGACAGCCAAGGTTGTTTGGCCATCCTCAAACACTTTTATGGGAATGCTTCTGGGGTGATGAGTGCCATTGCCCTCGGTGAGCAGCCCTGCTCCCTCCCACGGTGGATCCAACCCTAACTTAAATCCTGCTAACAATCCCTTCCAAGTGCACCATGCTTAACAGCTTACAAAGGGTTTTTACTGTCCTTTACACAAAGTAAAAAAAAAAAAAAGAGCTCTGTTGAAGACAGGAAATCTTAGTTTTAGCCTTATCTTTCTATCCTTATTATTATTAACAACATTGACTCCCATTTGATTTGATTGACTCCCATGTTACACTTTGCACAGCACCAACACAAACATTCTGTCATTTTGTTCTCAATTACCCTGTAAGAGCTGCCTTATGTCCCCATTTTACAGATGAGGGATTTGAGGAGAAAGGTCAAGTGACCTGTCCAAGATCACCTTGATGTTAGTAGTGCGTGGAAGACTTGAGCTTTAGTCTTCTGGCTGCATATTTTTACTCCATTCTCATGGAA